GAATTTGAACAAACTCCGGGAGGCAGTGGAAGACAGGAGGGCATTGCGTGCTCTGGTGGTCCATGGGGTTACAAAGAGTCAGACATGACTTAACAATCTCATTCACTGTTTAAGCCACCTTTTTATTCTGAGTTTTTTTTATTGCCAGAGTAAATACACTTTATATTGTTGAATATGTGCTGTTTGCAGCCTGCTTTAAGTCACTCACCTCCAAGTACCACATTTAATCCTTTGCTTTTTGGTTGTAAGCTTATCTTGATTCATACTTCTCATTCCACCTTCCAATTATGTATCTTACAGCATCAGATGTTCCTTTGGCTCTGTGCACATCAGCAACTAGATTTTATTTTATTTTATTTGTTTGCTTTATCCTGTTGCTTTATTGGCAAGAGTTCTATTGGGACTTTTCTATTATACATCCACAGTAGCCAATTGAGTGCCTTCTGATCTGGGAGTCTCATCTTCCAGCACTACCTCTTATTTCATTTTGCATTGGCTTATTATATTTTTTTGAAGTTAGAAATATAAAGGAATGATTTACCATTGCCTTCCTCTGCACAGTACAAACAAGAATGAGCTTGAGTATCATTGCTGATGATGTCTGTCATGATGTAAGAAAGATGTCTGTCAGTTTCACTTTCCACTGCTGTTGATTTCCAGTGCTTGCTCTTCAGAAATTTCTCTGCCTCACCACCTACCTGGAAATGTGTTTTCTTCGGCTGATGTCACTGTTGACTCCTGAAGAGCATGGTTGCATCTTAGTCTGAGGTCTCAGCTTTGACCATTGAACCTTTGGGTCTAGTCTCTTTATTTTATTGCTCTTAGCTTCCCTGATCAGTAAATCTCCCCACCATGTTAATGAGTACAGGGCACAGAAGGATTATGTACATCAAAATTCAGGCTTTTCAGTTCATGTGATACCCTTTCCCCCCATGACCATCTGTACTCCCACTGGCCAGTATCCAACTGTCTTTTGCTAGCACAAGGTCTGATATGTGGAGGTGAACCTTTAAGAGCTAGTGCAAGGAACATGTCTGCAGTTTCTATTGTGTGAGTGTCTGTGCAAAACAGATCTGGATCTTTCTGTATGCCCATTTGTACTACCACTTCTGCATGGTGTACTGCAGCACATTGGCCTCTATTTTTCTTTTTAAGGAAAGGTGTGAAGCAGAGGTGTGAATCTTGCAGCTTCTCATTTTGGAGAGAAAATTAGGGGAGGGGGAGTCACACTTCTCTTCTTTTGGCATGTATGTCTGAATTTCTCAGAAGTGTTGTGGTCATGTTTTTCCAGAATAAATGCCAAACCAAGCAAGATTATTACAATTCCTTGATCAGAAAGGGTATTAAGATGCAGAGTTTAACATTTCCAGTTCAGAAGAGTTGGCAAAAGCCAAAAAGAAAAAGAAAAGAAGGTGAAAACAAGGGTGTGATACCTGGCTATTGGCATGTATGTCTGAATTTCTCAGAAGTGTTGTGGTCATGTTTTTCCAGAATAAATGCCAAACCAAGCAAGATTATTACAATTCCTTGATCAGAAAGGGTATTAAGATGCAGAGTTTAACATTTCCAGTTCAGAAGAGTTGGCAAAAGCCAAAAAGAAAAAGAAAAGAAGGTGAAAACAAGGGTGTGATGCCTGGTTATATTTAGTTATTGTTTATATTGTGATGGTAAATGTGTTGCTTGAAATGCATTGGTTTGGTAGGTATGTTATGGGAGCAGGTGATAGAGGAGCACAAATGATGGTTTTGATTGATTGGGAGGGAAGTTAGATAAGGAAAGGGAGTGCATGAATGAGACTGTGGAGTCTCAAGAGAGATCAGTCTAGTTTATGAATTAGAACACTGCAGAAGAGAGATTGATGGGGAGAGAGGTGACAGAGAGTGAAGAGTTGTGCTAAATGAATTTAAAGCCTGTGAATAAACATTTCTTTTGACTTTGTTATTTTAATAAAACTTTATTAGCGCTATTCAAGCTGATGTTGAGTTCAATATCTGAGGGCTGGCAGTGTGGGGGTGTTATAAAAGCCTGCGTGAAGGGGCAAAAACACACACAGAGATGACAAAGATCCTAGTGGGGCATTGGGACATCTCACTGATGGAGGAAAAGGGCTTGGTGAGAGGTCTCACAATGGTGGTATTTGGAAAAGGGTGAAGAACGAAAACTTTTGCCCCCTTACCCCGAAATAAACATGGGCCACACTTTATTAAATTCTATTCAGTTCTTATCAATATTTCCAATCCTTTCACAAGGGTCCAAACTCCCCTCCATTATCCCCTTCTTAACGACCGTGGGATAACAACTGGCCTCACTTTTGCCCCAGACTCCATCCCCCTCTCTCTGTGCTGATCATGGGTCCGGGCGCGTCCCCAGCACATCTTTCCCTCCAAGCACTGTAATCGCCTGATCCGCAGTGCTGGGAGTTCAGATGAGCTACAATTTCTTGCCGTTACCATTAAAATCCCGGTTCCAATATCTGTTCAATCCGCACTACCCGCCACAGCATTGGGACTAGCCCTTCTATGTCCCATGCTCACCATTGAGCTGCTACAGCTCCAAGAGCAGGCCCCCCTTGATGTCCTCCAGGAAAACATCCCAACCTCATTTGGACAGATTAACGCCATCTGCTCTGAGAGTGGGGCATTGGGACATCTCACTGATGGAGGAAAAGGCTTGGTGAGAGGTCTCACAATGGTGGTATTTGGAAAAGGGTGCAGAATGAAAACTTTTGTCAATGTTTGTCAGATTCCTAGTAGGAAGCCACAGAAAGAAATGATTCCTAGACCTAGAAAGAAATGATTTCAGCAGTAAATCAAAAGTCCCTAGAAAATGTCTAAATAGTACAGTACATAACAGATACTCTGTGATGCACAAAAACCCTTTCTTTCCCTTTCTTTTCCCTCCCTGGCTTTGTTACTATAATCTTCTGCACTGGATTTTGGTCTTACAACAGGAGGGTCTCATCCTGCCTTCTGCTGTTTAGTCTCTGAGCACGACAAAATGCAGAAACAAGGATGATCTCAAAGTATCTTTAAAATGCTGATAGCTCAGTGGTTTAGGTCTCTGGCTGCAGAGCCAGAATTTGGGAATGTGATTCCTCACGGGGTCATCTTGACAGGGACTGGATTCAATGATCCATAGGGCCCCTTCCAGATCTGCAGTTCTAGGATTATTATTATTATCGTCTCAGAAACATATTGGCATAACAAATTTTTCTTTTCTTTTTAAGTCCGCCTATTTTAGGCAAGTCTGTAACTTGCAGTTTTCTGTCATTCTGTTCTACTTTGAGTTCAGGAGGCCATTGGTGAGATCCAGCAAGTCACAGTTCTTATGCTCTTATGTTCTCTTTGTAGTAATTCTGGAACAAGTAATTTGTGGATTGAAACCAGAGGGATCATTTGTTCTTGGAATAAGTCTAAGACTGTGTTGTTAACACTGTTACAGATTGGCAGTTCCAATTGCAGATTTTTATCAAGATCAGTGGTGATTGCCTATTGTCTTGGCGGAGGTGCACTGTTTAAATGCTGCTCTCTGCCAGTGACATTTCCCCCCATAATTTACTTCTCCCTGAGGCCAGCTGGAAGTGGCTGTGGCATTACAGCACCTTCCTCAGTTGTTGGTCTAAGCATTACATGTTGGCTTCTAAGTACATGTCTTTGGCAGGCAAAGACTCTTGGGTAAAAGTTGCAGGTGCCAAATTGAAAGATCACTTGCTTGATACAGTTCAGTGACTTGACTTATGTTGAAGAGGGAATTTTTTTAAAAAAAATACCACCCATCTTACTTTTCAGTGGCTTTCAAGTAGCTTTATTCATTTTTGTAGTGTCATTGACTAGAATGTTTTGCTTTGTGTTTTACAGTTTCACAGTATGTTTAGGACTTCATTCAGATTGTAGAGGTTTATCCCCCCACACACACACACACATCAAAACTTGGTGGGATATTCAAAACATTTTCATAGCAGTTTTCCTAATCAGCCACAGATTTAGGTAAGGCATAAAATAAAGAATGTGAACTTTTTCTCTAAAATGAATTACAGTGGTGCCTCGCTTAGCGATGTTAATTCGTTCCGAAAAATCGCTGCTAAGTGATTTCATCGCTAAGCGAAACGCGGTTTCCCATTGAAATGCACTGAAAACCGGATAATCTGTTCCAATAGGAACGAATTGCCGTCCTTAAGCGAAAATCGCCATACAAAACATCACTAAGCGAAACACGATTCCCCAATTGAAATGCATTGAAACCTGTTCAGTGCATCTCAGTGGGGGGAAAAATACAACAACAAATTAAAAAAGAGTCAGAACAAAGTCAACTTTGGTTAACAAAGGGTTTATTAAGTGCACTTTATGATTTCAAACATTTTAAACAGTAAACTTTAACTTTATAAATAACAGGAAAACATTTAAAAAACAGCAAACATGAGGCTGTTTAAACCATCGTTAAGCGAAACAGGGGACCAAAAATTTAATCGCTATGCGAAGCATGGTCCCAAGCATCACTAAGCGAAAATCGCCCATAGGGACCATCGCTAAACGAAGCGCCCATTAAGTGAGGCACCACTGTACTCATGAATCAGTTCATGTTCAAATTGTATATTGCCAAGTATTGGAAGAAAATATTTTTATTATTTTATATTAAAAATGTTCTTGATTATTTGAGTTGCTATTTTGCATCCCAATTTAATTGCTCATAAGCAAGCTGATAACTGGATGGTTAACTTGGTGAGTTAGATGTCTGGCTGCAGAGCCAGAGGTTGGGAGTTCAATTCCTCATAGTGTCTTCTGTGAGTAGACCTAGCCTGTGTTGCCTGGGCAAGCAGCACAGTCACAGAGATCCTCCACATGAAGGGAATAGAAAACTACTTCTGAGTATTCCCTACCTAATCTGACATAAACACACCTTAATGATCTTTTTAAAAATAAGTTACTTATTTTTATACATACTATTCTATGATAGAATTTAAACAAAATTCCATTAACCTGTCTCTGTTACTCTCTTTGCAGTGTTCTGTAACCTGTGGCAAAGGAATGCAGTCACGAGTAATCCAGTGCATGCATAAGATCACAGGGCGGCATGGCAATGAGTGTTTCTCCTCTGAAAAGCCTGCAGCTTACAGGCCCTGCCATTTGCAGCCTTGCAATGAAAGAATTAATGTGAACACAATTACATCTCCTAGGTTAGGTAAGCAAGTGACTGCAGTGTCATATGTAACCGTAGCCCTCTAAGTCATCTTTTGCCATTTTTCACCTGCACAAGTCTAATTTCAGCAGCCATTCTCAAACTATGAAACCATGGGTTTTCCTTCACCTAGGGATAGAAATCTTCACTTACTTCACTCTTGCACATAACAATGAAACATTTCAAAATTCCTCTCCCTGTTTTCTCATTTTTGCACACAAAAACACTGTATTTGGGGCAGAAAACCCTATATTTTGCATAGAAAATCTTGCATTTTGTACATAACATGAGGCTTTTTACATAAAGTAAAAAAAAACCCAGATTCTTTTGTCAATGCTGTTGCTGACAAACGGGCTGGTCTTTGCATTCTCATGTAGAAACAAAAAAATTACACAGTGATTGCTCTTCCCCCCCGCCCCCCAAACAAATGGTCTTCAGTGTATAGACACTCTTTTTACTCAAGGATGAGAACATTTGCAAACATTCATTACATCCTTTACACGAGCTTTTTCCTTGGGTGAGAAATTTTAGGACTGTGCTCCAGATCCATCGAACCTAATGCTCCATCTTTCAGGCTCTGTGCAGCCCCCTTTTTTGCACACTGCTTCAGCTTTTGGGCAGTACCTGAGAGACAAATGATGTCTTTTTTGTAGGAGAATGTCTGAGGTATATAATTCCAGCCCCTAGTTCAGAGATCTTTCAGATCCCTTCCTGCCCTACAATTCTATGATTCTTTGTTATAATGGATATATTATATATGTTATAATGAATAAGAATGCATCTTGACTTAGGTTTCTAAAGATTATTGCCTGAAGTTCATTCATGCCACTATGAATCTATTATAGCAAAAACCATATATGTGTTTTCTTGATAGTCAATCCCATTGCATTCTTGTTTTTTTAGCAAGTTGTTCAGGATTGTATTTTCTGAAGGGTTTTTTCTGAAACAGATTCTGGTACATTTGGCTATGTGTCATACCCTATTTTGCATTGCTCCCATTGCACACAGGATAGTGTTTTTCTATAAATCCATGTATGCATCTATTGTATGAACATGCACAAATATATACAGGTGCTTATATTCTTTGGTTTTGCCTCATTTCACAGCTGCCTTGACATTCAAGTGTCTGGGAGACCAATGGCCTGTATATTGCCGAGTGATACGAGAGAAGAATCTCTGCCAAGACATGAGATGGTATCAGCGTTGCTGTGAAACCTGCAGGGACTTTTATGCGCAAAAAATGCAGCAGAAGAGTTGACCCACAGCAGGCAAGCTGGCTACCTCTCAGATTTTCACAATCACATTATTTATAACACACACACACAAGCACGCTTCTTCAGACCAAATATTATCAGATTACATATAATTTAATCAAATTAATTTATTGTTGCCTGCCAATACATTTTTTTAAAATTTTGGTTAAATAGCTTTTTGGTTTTGGTTTATGCTCAGTTTTCATGATTAATTTTTATACAAATTATTTTGGATACATTTATCAGATTTTTTTTAAAAAATGTTATTTTAAATGTTTATATTCAATAGGAGAATCTCTCTCCCACTCCTGCCCACCCTCAAAAGAGAAACAACTAACATAGTACTGTACATGGTAAGATGGGCTAAAGTTGATAATTGGAAGTTAATGAGACTTCAGCACTCTTAACTATCCACTGCATTGTGCCAGATAGGAAGTCCTCATATTACCTTGAATTCACTTTTGTTTAAGTAAATGGTTTTGCTGTATACAGGAATGATGTCCACTTTATTTTGTTTAAATTTTGGTGCTCAGAGTCAGATTGACTTTGGATATTTTTCCAACAAGTTTTGGAATGAGTTAAGCTAACAAAATGCAATAAGTTATATAACAGAATGTATTGGGAAACAAACCCTTATTTTACTGAAGGCCAATCAGAAGTGTCCCCAGAGAGGTGTTTACATGATGTACGTATGTAAAAGTTTGATCCAGAACTCCCCTGGGCATAGCCACAGCTTTCCGATAATTTCAGTAATTATAACAGAATAGTTTTTAATTGACAGAAGAAAAGGAATTAATTCACTCCTACAGAAAGTGGGTATGACTGCCAATATGGACATCTTTTAAAAGGGGATAGACAAATTTATTGAATACAGGACTGTCAGTAGCTACCTGTCCTGATAGAGATATACAGTATTCCCTCCAATGTCAGTGAATGTATGCCACAGGGGGACAAGTGAGACAGTGCTGTAATACCCCTGTCCTTCTTGCAGCCTTCCAGTAGACAGTGGGTGGTCACTATGTGGACCCGACTAGATAGGCCTTTTGTTTGATCCTGGAGGGCTTTTCTGAATTCTAGGAAGCTGTGTGCAATCCCCATGGTTAATCTGCATCATCCTATACTTTTGCCATATAAATGCGCTTCAGGGACTGTTGAGACACCTCATGTTCGTAGGGTTTCTCCATGTCCTTATAAACATACTGTAGGAAATTATCTACTGTAACTTAGAAAATTTTATGAACAAAAAGAAAAAATGGCAAAATAAGGGTTTTAATCATGTGCATGAACATATACTTGAACACAAGTATTGAATCAATTAAACACTGTAAAGATTTACACTGAATCTCTGTTGCACTGTTTGATGTAGTGTAGAGAAACACCATTTTAGAATTTTCAACATCCTATGAAAGAACTCTGTACTGTTTTAATATGTCATTTGCTTTTAAGTGTTTGAACAGGAGATCCAGGCCTTACTCTCTGCGCTCAAGTGCATACTCTTGGAATTTGCCAGTGATGAGAACCTAATGCCTACCATGAATTAGGCTAAATGTTCAGGTTTTAAAAATGTTTTCAGAAAAAAATAGTGATAAATCTCTTCTTTGTTTTTCAAATTTTTTATTAAAATGCAGTTTTACAGTTTTGTGAAACGTGAGCAAGACAACATTTTCCTTATGAGAAAATATTGTACATGTGTCACTTGATTTTTCGGTCTTCAATAAATATATCTATATTATATAAACTTCATTTTTGTTTTTGTTTCTGCTTTTTTATTTTAGTAGTTTTCAGTTGGTAATAAAAAAGAGCAAAGAAAACCACTGCTTCATCCTGAATCTATCCACTGGATCTTCTAGTACAGCATTTTTTTCCTCCACCTGGCACTGTCTGTCCAAAATCCTGGGCAGAATTACCATTTTCCAAGCCCTATTCCTTTTAAAATAGGGTGCTGGAGATTGAGCATGGATACTGTTTTGCAGTACTAGCCCATGTCACTGAATTTATAGTCCTCTTTTCTTTCAAGTCCTTTATATCTATTATTGCCTAAATGTTTGAATAATTATCTTTAAAACAATGGCCAAAGTCCTGTTCCATAAATTGCACATGTGGAAGGTGGTAATGGCACTGACTGAGAGATTTTTAGTACCGTATTTTTCCATTTATAAAACGACCCAATGTATAAGATGAACCCCCCCCCTTTTCTAACCCCAAATTAGAAAATTTGATCCCTGCTTTTCCGTTCCTTTTGCTAAGCCATGGAGCTTAGCAAAAGGAAGGGAAAAGCAGGGATCAAAGGGCTCCCTTTGACCGTCGCTTTTCCTTGCCTTTTGCGAAGCCATGGGGCTTAGCAAAAAGGAAGGGAAGGCTCCCTTCAGGTAAAGGCTGTACAATCGCAGCCCTTTGATCCTGAAGCCCTTTCATGTCTGCATTACCCACTTCCGTGGGGCTTAGGAAGCAGATAAAGCAGCCATGAAAGGGCTTCAGGATCAAAGGGCTGTGATCGTGCAGCCCTTTCACGGCTGCTTTACCCAAAGGGAGGCTCCCTTCCTTTTTTCTAAGCCCTGTGACTTTGCAAAAGGCAGGGAAAAGTGGCTGCCTTCTGTGTATAAAACAACCCTTAATTTTTTGTCTGATTATTTAAGGTAAAAGTGTCATTTTATACATGATAAAATATGGAGTTTTTAAAGAGTTCCTGCTTCTGTCCTGCAACATGCATGACTCACATGTAATCAGTGTGGTGCACTAGATCCCCTAAGGGGCAAGTTGCATTCGGTAAGAGAGTCTGAGAGGCCGCTTACCTACCAGCTTTGCCCTGGGGCAAATCTCAGGACCTCAGCAGTGCATAGCATAAGCCCTTTGAACAAGCCTGACCTTAAAAGAACACTTTACTCTTACTCAGTACTTTGGAAGTACAGACACATGGGCTTTGTGATTCCTTAGAACTCACTAAAGCTCAGTTAGGTAGGGCACTTAAAAGATAGATAGTTTGTAGCCCTCTCCAATTCCTGGATTTAGCCAGACCCTGCCGTTCAAGAGACCTGTCCTTTTGTAGAATTTTATAATTAACTTTTATTAGAAAAATAGAGTTTCATTAGAATCAGTTTATATTGCACAAGCGTTAGCATCAAGAACATATTCAAAGATCATTGCAGTTAAATAAAATAACTATTTCCCGTTAAAAATAATAAACACTAATTAAGCTAAATTAAAGTGGGCTATAATGGGCTAGGCCCACGTCCTTCTTTCTCCTTACTTACATCCTCTCTCCTTCATGGAATCGAATCCAGATCAGAACAGCACTCGAATCTCCAGATACTTTCACGTAACCCATTGTCCATTTCTACATTCTCTAACTCCTCCCTTCTTTTTGATCATTCTAGCTGTTAACCAATTAACCTTAAGAGTCTGTACCCCCTTTCTCCTCCCCTTATTCCCATGAGAGTCCGGGTGTTGTTTATCTCTTCTCCCATTAGCTCGGAATGTTGAGTCTTCCACGGGCTCTCAATTCGGCCTTCATTGCTATCTTAAACCAGAATGTAACGGTCTTCAGGAAAACACTCTCATGGCACTTAGAAAACACATTGCAATGTCTCTCAAATCATCTTCACACACAACATGTCTGATTCCATTTTACATTTCTCTGACTACATATCCCATCATCATGACCATTGTGTGCAAGCCTTGGGGGTCCTCAGACGGAAGGAGGAGAAACACTGATTAAATTATTGGTGATTTAAGAGTTCCTCAGTCCATCCCAGAGCTCCCACAGATTGCATGCAGTGAGACTGATTACACACCAAGTCAGACAAGACACAGGATAGAATAAGGAATTCTTTAATTACCTAAAGTTCCTCCCTGTTGGTGACATCATTACTCTTGTTGATATCTAACTTATTCAACAGCATTTTGGCCATTATTATAAGCACAGTTCTTCAATTGATCTTACAAGTCAGCCCCTTTTTCTTGCAAAGAAGACAGCTTTAATGTACTGTTTCCTCTGTTCAGCCACAACTCATTTTTTTTAACATAGAGCATTTGTTCTCTGTCTTTCCCTATCAAGGCTCCTAAGATGATTTGCAATAAAATTAAAATAATCAAAAGCAGGTTAAAATATTCAAAATAAATTTTTAAAATGATTTAAAGCCAAAGACAGTAACTAGAATCCTTCTGGGTCTAGCTAATTGCATAAATTGCAGTGGCACGTTGCCACTAATTAATGAGTTGGCACTCACATTTCTGCTTACACACTAAATTGTGTGACTGACACTCAGCCAGAAATGTGAATAGCAGCTTGTTAATTATTGCAATTTGATACTCCATCTTATGCAATTACATCCATACTGGCATAAATCCCCAGTAGGTTCTGGCCAATTCTGGGGAAAAAAATGTCCTGAAGATGCAAGGGTACAGTACAGCTTTAGCTGCCTGTCAGAAGTAGGACAGAGATGTTGCTGATATAATTGTCTTGAAAGGAAATTCAAGAATTGGGATGCTTCTACTGAGAAAGCCCTATTGGTACTCACCAACCTCAAGCCCCTCTATTGGGGATTTCAAATTCCAGGCATATCCTCCTCCAAGCAATTTAGGATTTTATAGATCAAAAAGAGTACCTTAGATTGAGCTCAGAAGTGTATTGGAAGCCAGTGCAGTTGGCTTAACAGTGGTATTGTACAATTACTGAAACATGCTTCAGACACCGGTCACCACATTTTGCACTAGCTATAGCTTCTGAACACTTTTCAAGGGCATCCCCATGCAGAGCACACTACAGTAATCTAATGAGCAGATACTTAAGGTTTGGATCACTTTAGCCAAGTACTGTATGTTGCCATATATAATATCACCCCATGTATAAGATGACCCCCCCAGTTTTCTAACCCAAAATTCAAAAATCATTTTTATTTAGTAATTAGGCAACATTTACATATCAGTACTATGATATTATGTATCACACTTAACTGAGCAAATCACTTCATTCAGCCTCGTTTGCATAACTGATTACATTCAGTTTGAATTTTGCAGAGTAAGACATTCACTTATTTATGTTTGTATTTTTTGACATCTTTATGGACTCAGAATGCACCAACATTACCAGTCACTGTCGCATCCATGCACTGCCTGCAGACTCTCCTCCGCATCAACTGACATCAGTTGCATAAGGCTCGTGATTGGAGGAAGCCTGTTTGCAGAGACAAGCTATCGACAGTTTCCCTCGTGACTGGAGGCAGACTGGTTTGTAGAGACATGGGCAGTTTTGCAACCATGTGGTTTTCTCCTCGGCTTACTTCCATGTATAAGACAACCCTCAATTTTTAGTCTAACGAGTTTTGGAAAAAGTAGTGCCTAATACACAGAAAAATACGGTACACTTTTCCTTAGAAGAGGCTTAACTGGTGCACTAGCCAAAGCTAAGCAAAGGCATTTTGGGCCACATTGCGTAGCTGGTTTCCAGGAGCAATGCTGAGTTCAAGAGCCTTCTCAAGTTGCAAATGTGACCTGACCCTTGAAGGGGAATATAATCCCATCCAGAATAAGATATAATCTGAATCCCAGATTGCCCTTTCTGTTGAACCACAGAAGTTCTGTCCTGTCTGGACACAGCCTCAGTTTGTTCAACCACACTTTATCACTCATTGCATTCAGATGCCAACTCAGGACTTTCACAGTTTCTTTGGCATTACAACATAAATAAAATTATGTTTTCCCCAGCTGTTTCATTATATTTGCTTTATTTTAGTTGCATGACCATTTTATTTGCGTGCATATTTTATTTAATGGTAGTTCTGGCTACAAAGAAGAAATCGTATTTAGAGCATTTACTATCATCATGGGGAAGAGCAACCAACAATTTAGAGATCTCGGGACCACAAAAAAATGACTCAGCAACAGCTAACTGACTGGTTTGAAAGAAAAGTGTAGAGAAGATTCTACTAATTAGATAGGTACAGACAGAAATGGGCCATTGCTAAGCGTGATCTCACTCCGAAAAAAAATTGGAAATCTTGACCATGAGAAAAGGCTTTAAAATGTTTTATGGTCAATATAGCAGTTCAAGGTGCTGTAACAAAGGCGTTTGCCTTATATGGAGCAAGAAATGTCTGAGTCAGAAATGGAAGAGGCACTTGAGATCATATTGAAAGATCCACTGAATACTGGAGAGCACCAAAGAATTTCAGAAGAAAATCAGGCTATGCTTTCTAGACTACAGGAAAACACTTGATTGTGTAAATCATGAGAAACTATTGGTTGTTCTGAAAAAAATGGGTGTGCCTCAAAACATGATTGTCCTGATGGCTAACGTGTATTGTGGACAAGAAACTACCATTAGGACAAAATACGGAGAGACAGACTCATTTCCTACAGGCAAATATGTCAGACAAAGGTACACTTTATCCCCTCAGGTGTTCAATATATATGCAAAACATACCATACAGAAAACCAGACTAGATTCAGATGAAGGAAGATTGAAATTTGGTTGAAGAAACAATAATTTAAGATATGCAGATGACACCGTATTATTGACAGAAAGCAGCAATGACTTGAAAAGACTTTTAGGGAAAGTGAAAGAAGAAAGTGCCAAAGTTGAACTGCAATTGAACATTAAGAAGACAAAAAAATCATTACTATAGAAGAACTACACAACTTTAGCATTGACAATGAAGAAATTGAAATAGAGATTTTGTATGTCTTGACTCAATCATCAGTCT